CCCCTTAAAATTCCAGGTTTTTCCCCTTAAAATTCCCCTTTTTTTCCCCAAAATTCCCTTTTTTTTCCCCAAAATTCCATTTTTTACCCAAAATTCCCTTTTTTTTCCCCAAAATTCCCTTTTCCCCCCAAATTTTCCCTTTTTCCCCCCCAAACCGACCCCAAAACCCAACGCAAAAACAAAAAATCAAATCCGAAATAAAAAAAAAAAACCCGAAAAAAAAATTAAACCGGGAAAAGTTTAAATAATTATATTTTTAAATAAAATTAATTCCGAAGAAAATTCCACCCCCCCCCAAAAAAAAAAATTCCCAAAAAATTTAAAAAAAAAAGGAAAAATGGGAAAAAACAACAAAAAACCACAAAAATTCCGCCCCTCCCCCACCTCAACCTCTGGAATTTTGGGGACCCCCGGGAAAATAAATAGGGAAAAAAAAAAAGGGGGATGGGGGAGGGGAGGAAAATCCCAAAATTTAATGGAAAATCCCCAAAAAAAAATTGGGAAAAATCCCAGAATTTTTTTTTTGGGGGGGAAAATCCCAAACCCAAATTTTGGGATTTTTTTTTTTGGTTTTTTTTGGCTTTTCCAGGAGTTTTCTCCCCCAAAATTTCAGGATTTCGACCCCAAAAAAATCCAAAATTTTCCATTTTTTTTCCGGCTTTTCCAGGACTTTTCCTCCCCCAAAATTCCAGGATTTCGACCCCAAAAAAAATCCAAAATTTTCCATTTTTTTTCCGGCTTTTCCAGGACTTTTCCTCCCCCAAAATTCCAGGATTTCGACCCCAAAAAAAATCCAAAATTTTCCATTTTTTTTCCGGCTTTTCCAGGACTTTTCCTCCCCCAAAATTCCAGGATTTCGACCCCAAAAAAAATCCAAAATTTTCCATTTTTTTTCCGGCTTTTCCAGGACTTTTCCTCCCCCAAAATTCCAGGATTTCGACCCCAAAAAATCCAAAAATTTCCATTTTTTTTTGGCTTTTCCAGGAGTTTTCTCCCCCAAAATTCCAGGATTTCGACCCCAAAAAAAAAACCAAAATTTTCCATTTTTTTCCGGCTTTTCCAGGAGTTTCCTCCCTCAAAATTCCAGGATTTCGACCCCAAAAAATCCAAAATTTTCCATT